CTGTAGACCAGGCTGGCCTCGAACTTAGAGATCTGCCTGCCTCTGCCTCTTGAGTACTGGGAATAAAGGTGTGCACCACCAACACCTGGCATTTTTATGAATTTTGATCATGTTATAATACTCCCTCAACTATTTCCAGATCTTCTCCACTGCCCTACTCAACACTGGGGTTTCTCTGTGTAGCTTTGGAGCCTGTCCTGGAACTGGCTCTGTAGACGAAGTTGGCCTCTATCTGCCTCTGCCCCCCAAGTGCTAGGATTAAAGGCATGTGCAACTTTTCTTGTTAGTATTACTTGGGTAACAGTAGAATAGTCTGAGAATCATATAAGTTAAAGATGTGAATATCTACCACATTCTTTCAGCAAATATTTATCAAGGCTTTAATATCAGATAACGTCTGAAGTTACAGCTATGAACAAGAAAATTTTCCTCCCATTCCTCTTGCTTTGAGTCAAAAGTTTCACTCTGTGGTCCAGGCTGGCCTCAGACTGGTAGCAATCTTCCTTCTTTAGCCTCCACCAGGCCTGGCTATCTTCTTGAGTATTATGCTCTTGTGGAAGGCACAAGGACAGACAGACATACAAGCTGATGCTTTTTACTCCCTTTTGTTTCCTCCCTTACCGATGAGGAAAGAAAATAACAGGAAGAATGACTTAACTCAAGATTACATTAGAGGCAAGTCCTCTGAGCAAGCCCTTCCTAGCCTTTCAGAATACCTGAGACCTTCCTAAGCTCAGAGCCGCCCTTCCCGCCCCCGCTCCGCACTTTGCACCACAAGGTGGCGCCAGAATGGATGACTCCTTAAGGACCCTGCGAGCCTTAGCCTTGGTCCTGAAGTAGTAGTACTTTTGGTTGGTTCAGCTCTTCGTTATCTGTCCTGCTGCCCGACGGGGAAGCTTCAGGGGTCTTGGCTCCAGTAGAGGCCTCGCTGGACGACGTACAGAGGAGGCTCTGTCGTCTGGTATTGGAAGCACTGCAGGTTGAACTCCAGGTGAGGCTTCCATTCCAGTCAGCATGGGAGTGGAAGGAAGAGACACGGTATATTTATGGTGGTCTCTGCGGGATCTGGATCTTTTCTCTAGCCTGTCTCTGCCATGCTTTTCCTAGCCCCTGTTCGCATCTCTGCCCTCGCGCCGGTGGCTATTGAGTTCTGAGTTGCTGGACGGTGTGTGTGAGCAGACGTCGCACTTCTGCCAGGATTTCTGGCGTGTGCGGAAGCCTGCTGTTCAGGTGGAGCAGGGAGAGGAAGGCTGGGGAAGGGGCACTGCTAATGGGGCACTGCTAACTCAAGCTGGTTACCTGTCCTGCAGCTGCTGCTGGCGGAGGCGGAACGAACCGTGGTGTTGCAATACCTACGTGCGCTGATGCAGGGCCGCCTAGTGTGCCGCAGTGCAGACGAGCGTACCCAAGCGGCTGAGCGCCTTCAGCACGACGCTACCCAACTTAAGGAGCTTTTCCTGGGTTTGGTGAGAGCTCGTTGGGAAAGCGGACAGTCGAGAATCTCAGTAGTCGGGTGGGAGCCGAGAGCCGGCTGGGAAACCCTGTCCCAATGTGTTTAGGGCCTGGAGGAGAGCGCTCACTGCGCGCCGGTGCTGCTCGCGCTGAGGGAACTGCTCAACCTCCACGACCCCACGCTGCTTGGCCTCGAGGTGGCAGGCCTGAGGCAAAAATTTCCCGACGTGAGGTGCGAAGAAGGGGACAGGGGAGGAGGAGCCCGGGAGGGCAAGGGCGGGTCTGACAGGCGTGGTGGTGGTATTCCTGCAGCGAGGATCATGTCTCCGCCCTCTTGGACCTGCGCGGGGACGTGTCCCGAGAGCATCGCCAGGCAGCACTCAGCTCCCTGCAGGCTGGCCCACCGCCCTCACCTTCCACTGGCCGCCGAGCACTCTTCAGTCTCGTGCCGACGCCTACGCCCTCCCTGTCCTCCTGCCTCCCCTCGGGTCCCTGCTCCTGACCCACCTGTCTGCGTAATAAAGCCACGTCCACCGCGCATCTGAATCTATGTGTTGGGGCACGCGGGTGTTGAAATTAGCAGTGAAATGAAATTAAGGGTCCATGCACAGAGGCACTCTTAATCCTGGTTGCAGTCCAAGTATTCTGACAGCATCTCGCCTATGCAGGCATCTGCTCTCTTTGTGAATTGCGTCCCCCGAACCCTGGGCTCCCGGGAGGACTCAGGGCCCATGTATCCACCCGCCGGCTGTAAGTGTCTCCACCGCCCTCGAGAGTCGCTTTAGAAGCCCAGACACTGGTGGACCCGGAGCTTTAGGGCGACACCCCGCCCAGGGCGTAGCATGGCAGTGATCCCGCCCTCTTTGCACGCCTGGCTCCGCCTACAGTGGGCTTAACTCGCGCTACCGCGGAAACTGACGTGAGCCTGCGCGTCTTCGTGTGGGCGTGCGCGCGCCCGAATGCGTGAGTGTCTGGCGCCGGCTCCCAGAGTCTCCGAGACCAGCGACCGGCTTTGAAGAGCAGGAATTGCGGACAGCAAAAGAGGCGCGAACAGGTGCGGGCGCGGCACGCGGACCGAACCCCCATCCCACTCTAAAGACCGAGACTAAGCATGCGACCTGGCCCATCTTGATTCACCTTACCAGAGAATTCCCCCACTCCATTGTCTTCTAGCCCCGCCCTCCATTGGGCACGCCCTTCACCCTGCCCCACACCCCTTATTGGCCTCGGGGCACGCCCTCCGGATCTCTGGGTTCCCATTGGCTCTTCTCCCACATTAAGCTCTTTCCAGGAGTTCTTATTGGTGTGGGCCACAGGCTCTCATTTGTCACCAGACCCCACCTTCAGCAGTCAGGGTCTCCACCCTCACCTTGCATTCATTCATTGACTAGTGAGTGCTTGGAATGAGAGAGTAAATCAGACCGTCCCTGACCTCGGGGAGTTCAGGGCACGGTGGGGGAACATGGACCTAGCCTCCAACCGTGACAGCCTACGGCTGTCAAGAAGCCATCAAGACCCTGGGAGCCTTTACGCATCGGGAAGGCTTCCTAGAGAAAGTGAGGCCTAACCTGAGCCCTGAAAAATGGTTAAGAGGTACTCCAGGGACACACTGGCCAAAGAATTCTTGGCAGAAGAACCTGAGGCGTGAAAGAAAAAGGTACATTCTAGTAATTACGAGGACATAGGTTGGAATGAATGAAGGGGAAATGGACGAACTGGCCCAGGTAGTGGTCAGTAGGCGTCCAGGAAAGTATACAGTTTGAGGGTGAATAAAGTCCAAGACTTGAATTTTTTTTTTTCACGCAGCTGATCACTAGGCAAGGTCGGAGGAGGGAATCCGAGGAAGTAGAGCAGGTCTAGATGGGGAAAGTGTTGATTCTAGTTTTGTTTTAAGATCTGTTTTTGATTTTTATTTTATGGGTATGTGCATGTGCCTGTGGAGACCAGAAGAGGGCGTTGGACAACCCCCCTCTCCCCTCCCCCCCCCCACACCTCTGGAGTTATAGGTAGTTGTGATGGATGCTAGGAACTGGGTTTGGGTCCTCTGGAAGAGCAGCAAGTGCTCTTAATTGTTGAGCCATCACTCCAGCCCTATGTCTCCAGTTTTTACAAGGACTTGAGTTCATTCATTTATTGATTACAGTGCAGGAGTGGGAACTGTTCTGGTTTTGGAAACACATCTGCAAATCCTGGGAAGGATAAAACCACCAGATATACCATATAAACATAGTTAATGTAGATGACAACAGCTGCTACAGAAAAAAAACATACTTACAGAAGAGAGACGAAATTGGCTCTTTTGTAGAGATTTGCTAGTTCCTCTTTATTTTGATCTTTATTTTCTCTCTTTTCAAAGCTTTTGAGAAAGGTATTGCTTTGTAGCCCAGGCTGGCCTGGAATTCACAATTATCCTGTTTCAGCCTCCAGAGTTCTGGGATCACAGATGTGTATCACTACATCTGATAGAGGGAAGCTTTTCTTATGTTTTTAATTTTTAATTTTATTTTTATTTATTTTTTAATGTATGAGTGTGCTGCATGTATCCCTGCACACCAGAAGAGGGCACCAGATCTCATTATAGATGGTTGTGAGTCACCATGTCGTTGCTGGTACTTGAACTCAGGAACTCTGAAAGAGCACTTGGTGCTCTTAACTGCTGAACCATCTCTCCAGCTCCTACATTTTTTATTAAAACATTTTCATGTGGGGCAGTGGTAGTAAACACTTTGCCTTTAATCTCAGTACTTGGGAGGCAGAGGCATGTAGTTCTCCAAATTTGAGGCCAGCCTGGTCTACACAGTGAGTTCCAAAAACATCAAATCAAAACCCAAACCATTTTCATGATTTTTTTTTTTTTTTTTTTGAGACAGGGTTTCTCTGTAGCTTTGGAAGCTGGCTTAGAACTCGCTCTGTAGACCAGGCTGGCCTCGAACTTAGAGATCTGCCTGCCTCTGCCTCTTGAGTACTGGGAATAAAGGTGTGTGCCCCACCACCCAGCAAGGAGTATCTTAAAACAAGTTGATTTCTAAACCATCTATAAAATAAAAAAAATCTAACATAAAAGTTCATGGTAAAAGAAAATCAAATATGTAAAATAATATTTAAAATATCACAATCTTGTTTTCAAATGTTTAAAACTTACAAATATGCCCTTCATTTTAGTTAGTGATGACAAACTTAGTTCAGCAAGATATTTCTGCATTTATCAGTCGCCAACAATAAATATGGAGTTCTTTTGTAATAAAAACACTGGGGCTGGAGAGATGGCTCAGGGGTTAAGAACACTGGCTGCTCTTCAAGAGGCCCTGAATTCAATTCTCAGCAACCACATGGCAGCTCACAACCATCTATAGTGAGATCTGGTGCCCTCTTCTGGCCTTCAGGCATACATGTAGGCAGAACACTGTATACATAATAAATAAATAAATCTTTTTAAAAAGAAGAAAAATCTTTAGAAAAAGAAAAAGAAAAAAACACTGTTATCACAACTTCTACTATTATGCTTAAATGGTTAAAGAGGTATTTTGAAGATTTATGCCATATATATGTAATTAATTCACTCACATTTTTAAAAAAAAATGAGTACCCACTCCACATAAATTGCCAGAGGAACCAAAATAAGAAACAGGATAGCATTACTTTGTGGGATTTCAAACCACATGAAAACATTATCTGGCCATAAGCACTTGCTTCTGAATAAGAAGGGTGAATTCAGCTCTCATATCTAAAGTCCTGTACAGATTATGGCTGCAATAGCAGAGGTGTTCCTACAAGAGCAGCAATTTGAGCATGGTGATAGCTACACAAAGAACACAGGACTGATCAATACCACCTCCTAGCATCAGAAGAACACCACTGGCCAAATGCTGATTAATCTCTGCTGTCTGGATGACAGAAATCCAAGGGCAGCCAAGCAGCCTGCTTCTTGGATCCAACTCCACATAGCTCTGACAACGTGTTACAGGGAGGTCTCATAAAGAGGCTGTATCACACAGACATGATAGAATTTAGACCCAACTACATGGGGACTTCCAGGGATGGAGGGTGCTGGCAACTGTTAAAGCTTACAACTAACACATTATCGATGGCAAAGGACGAGGTGTGCTGTAAAAAAAAAAAAAAAAAAAAAAAAAAAAAAAAAAAAAAACGCCCCCGCACACCCACTCTCACAAAAAAAC